TTATCTATAAATTTTTTCTTTACTTCTAAGACAAGTCAAAAATTTATTAATTAAATTATTAAAGTTACAATAATAAATGTTGTATATTTTGATATGCTCTATCGAATTTCTTTAAGGTTATAGAGGAGGCATACTTAGTATTTTTTTGAATTTTACTAATATAAAAAATTTTAAAAAAATTTTACTCAAAAAATACTTAACTTTTGATTATAAGTAAAATTTAATTTTTTACTAAATAATTAAAAAATAAAATATAGTATCATATACTATGGATCTTAATCTAATATAAAATAAATTTTTATAAAAATACATTAATTTTTTAAAAAAATAGATAAAAAACAACTTTTTAGAAGCAAAAAAATCAAAATTTTATTAATAAGTACCTACAGACTAAGGGATAACAACAGTATAATAACAGTATGTTATACAGCATATTAACCAATGCTATTATACTGTATAATATTTTTACAACCTACCGACATCACACCAAGGGACAATTTTCTGATGTAATATATTTAAATTAATTTATTGGATAACACAAGGTAAGCTTTAGGTTAAATATTGAAATCACGTCCTGTTTTTCAAGTTTTTATTTACAGTAAAAAAAATTTAAAAAAAAACTTTGCCATATAAATGATAAATTTGTTGATTGCTCAATGATTAAGACCATCAACTTGTATGATTGCCCCGTTTTAAGGAATTCTAGAAATAAGTAAATATATTTTTTTCAAAGATCCAATGAACAATACCATAAGACCTTGAAATGTTTTATAAAAAAATCTATTTTTCAAAAATGATTAGTTTTGATGACTAAAAACATCTACACTTTCTATCCAAATGCTTTTATTATTTGAACTAAAAGAAAACCATAAATCATAAAAAAAAAGATTGGTATATCAATTGTTAGTCCAAGTTTCTAGTTTTTTTTTTAGCCGAAAGATTAAATAAATCAACTTTACTAAAATACACCTATGGTGCTAAACACCATAGTGCTATTTCTCAAAAACGTACGTACCAAGTAATTAGGGTCGGGTTCTAAGTAAAAATGGTTAGGATCCCCGAAACCTTAGGCGTGACAAAATTTGGACCTTTATATGAAAATTTTATTGTTATATAAGCCCCTATTTCATAATACGTAAAAATGCAAAAACAATATACGTACGTATATTGTGCTAAACACCATAGGTGCATCTTATACGTATAAATAATGTAATTATGATTCTAGAAATCTACTGACGTGCATTATCTTCATATTATATAGATAATGTAATTATGATTCTAGAAATCTACTGACGTGCATTATCTTCATGCGTGCAGGCCAACCAGTATGCACGTACAGTACTTGAGTAAATTGGTATCAACAACATACAATTGTCGGTGAAGATAAACAAAAGAAATTTATTTCAAATTTCTGTATATATAACAATATGTAAGATATGGATCAGTGTCTAACGTTATAGGGTTTTGAGAACAATTTTCAAATTTAAAAATCGATATTCAGTCAATTTTGATTATTTAGTTATTAAAAATAGAAATAGACTTTGATTGAGAATTATAGCAAATTTATTATGATGCGCAACAAAAAATTAGTCTATAAATAGAGCACTTGCTCAAGAATATAGCTTGATAAATTATCAAGATTTGATCAAAAAGCCCGAAGCCCCATCAAAATCCCGACAAACAGAATCCTGACAGGGCATAATCCCGACAAAAATTTCCCGACAGTAAAATCCCGACAAATCCCGACAATAAAAAATTATTAAGTTTATTTAAGTTAGAGTAGGATTAAGTGAGTGCATAGGTTAGGGCAGTGTTGTAAATGGACAGTTTTTAACAGTTTTAATAGTTTTGGACAGGGGTTTGGATATATAAAAAGTTGTCCAAAACTGTCCAAAACATGTCCAAAACTGTCCAATTGACAACATTGGGTTAGGGTTAGGGTGTGCGCCTAGGTTAGGGTTAGGGTTTAGGTGATTTTATATAGTAAAATTGCTCAACAAACACTTTTTTGATTATCGGGATTTTGATCCAAACCCGTTTTATACGGTCTCGTCGTAAATTCTTCCCAGGGTGTAATTTTGAAATTTAGCAAACTAAGCTTAATTTGGGCCATAATTCAAAATATGCTCGTTATTTTGAGAATTTATGGTAAGTAGATTCTAAATGCACCTAGAAATTTTAAATTCACAAAGAATTTCAAACTGACAAAGTTAATATGAATTTTCCCCCATTTATTCTTCGTTTGCAATTATTTAAATTACCGATTTGTGACATTAAAATATATATATATACCTGAGAAACTTCTCATATACCTAGAGATAGGCAATTGCACGCATAGTATGCAAAATATGTAATTAATTCTGGTCAGCATTAAAAAATTGTTACATACAAAAATCTCTACATATACTTATAGAAGAAATATTATACAATTCATCGTTCCTGCACTACACATAATTTTAAGAACCCCAAATTACATCCAATTTGACAACGGGATTCATCACGATCTTTTTATTGTATTTAATTTTATATTATATTGCAGTAACAAGTAAGTGGCGCATTTTGAAATTAGATGAGGGTTTGAAAAATCTTATTTGTTTAAGATTTTAAAATCGGAAAAATGAAATGGGTGTGTTTGAAGATCCCCATTTCATGCAATCGGAAAATTTTTATAATACATTGTAAAATAAATAAATAAATAAATAAAAAGTAAAACTTTCGTTCAAATTGAAGATAAGCCAGATCGCTTATTTCAAAATAATACGTCATCAATTTCAATTAAAATTAGATTTCCGCGTTTTAACTTTGAAACCTCCTATTGTATATATTTTTATTGATCCGATTTTGATTAATTAATTTAAATCACTCATGAAGTTGAATTCGAATTCGAATTCTCTAACAAATTGAGTCAATTTAGAATTTCGTTGAAACGTATATTAATCTAGAATACGCACACAAAGATTCTATTCCAACATACAAACATATCTGATATGCATAAAACTGAGAAATTAGAATCTGTATTTTGAATACACAATACCTATCCTATTAATGTAAAATGTATAAAGAAGAGAATTACACATTAAATATTGTAACACATGTACGTACGTATGATAATGATAGGATTAATCTGGAACGTTTCTTTCATAAATCCCAAAAATGCAAAATCATTTTGTAAGCATAAATAAATTATTTGTAATACGAATTATATTACTTCTAGTTTTATTCTGTATGCGCATAGTATAGAACTCTTATAAAAGTATAAATGATAATGCGCAGAAAAATTTGCATTCACATACAGTAGCTTTCCTGTCTTTATTATTCTAGTTTACAAAATTTCATGCTGCAAAAATTATACAGTCAAATTAATCAGAATCACAAAACATCTGTAATAGAATGTCGTGAATATATCAAAAAGGAAATAAACAGTAACAAAATTCAACTCTTTAATTACGGAGAATTTAAAAACAAGACGTATATTCGCGAAGGCGCAGCAGGCGAAATTTACAAGGTTGAACGGATCACGAATGACAAAAAAAAACAAAAGCCAAGGATCTTTGCGTTAAAAGGGTTTAAGGGCGATCCTGATGAAGTTTGTTTAAATTCTCAATCATTTTTTAGAGAGGTTGTTAATTTATTTAAATTTTACGCATAATTTTGTTGTTTTATAATGTCTATAGTATAAGACACACTTACTTTGGCGTTTTACGATATAGCTTAAACACTTTGGAAATTTAAGTCATAAGAATCATCCAAATATAGTTAGATTTTATGGCGTCTCCGAAGGTTTTTATCGATATCGTTGTCGTTATTTATAATATAAATATATATACTTGCTACATACATAAATTTATAATAGATAAAACAGGAAAATTCTGGTTAGTTTTACAATATGCAGATGGTGATCTTAGAAATTACCTAAAGAAGAATAAGAACTCGCTGACTTGGGATGATAAATTACGTATGTCTAAAGAAATAACTAATGGATTAAAGTTTTTACATGAAAATGGTATCATTCATAAAGACTTGGTATGTTTATCATCATTTTATAGTATATACAATTATTACTATTACTGTTATTATTATTATTAACCATATCTTGATATATATATATATATATATAAATATTAGCATCATGGAAATATACTAGTTCGCAAAGGACGAATGCTTATCGCAGATTTTGGTTTGTCAAGAAATAAGAGTTCAGATCAAAGTCCTTTAGCACGAGGAAAGGATTGGTTCGTTGATCCTCAAGTTTTTTGTACAGATAAATTTAAACCAACTGTAAAATCGGATATTTATAGTTTAGGTAATTTTACATAATATCATTTTTATCTTTAAAAAATATATTATTTTTGAATCTCATTGCTGTCGACTTTTAGGGAGACTCCTCCGGTATATCGCAAATGGTACTCTTTCAAATATTTCACTTAACACTTATTTTTCGAAAATAAGTGATCCCGATTTTCAAGAAACTTCTGACCCGAACGCTTGTATACCTCCTGAATTCTCTTTTATCTATAATACATGCTTACAAATTGATCCAGGTAAGATTTACCTAATTCACGTACTGTACGTACGTATCAGTCAACATCTTTTAAAAAAGTTTATTACATAAATTTTTACTATTTTGAAATTTTAGATAAACGACCAATTGTCGAGCACATTTATGAAGCTTTAAAAAAATTACATTTTGACGATTTTTTGCATATAGAGCCAATTCAACATCGACTTGAAAATTCAATGCTACTTTTTGTTGAACAAAAGCATTCCAAACCTTATTTAGGTTCTGAAATATTAAAACATGAAGAATCCGATAATATGAGTGATTATGATTATTCTGATGAAGATTGTGATGGTTTTGTAAATATATTACCAAAAACAAAATCTTCAATTTCTTCAATTTCTTTAATTCCTTCAGTTTCATTAGCATCTGCTTCACAATCTTCAAATTTAACACAAAATAGCCAACAATTAATTTCTAAACAAGATAGTACTATACTGGAGTTATGTTCATCGGCTAAACAACAAGATTTTACTAATGATTCTGATAAAGGGCATAAATTATATAAAGAAGGTTTAAAAGCTAAAGACAAAGGCTTTCCATCTATAGCTTATAAGAATTTTAAAGTAGCTGCAGAAACTGATCATGCATTGGCTAGAGTACAATTAGCTCTTTGTTACTATGATGGTTATGGAGTAAAGAAGAATACAACTGAAGCATTAAGATTATTCAAATTATCAACACAAGGTGATGATAAATATCATCTAGGAATGTGTTATGAACTTGGTGATGGATTTAAAAAAGATATAAATATTGCTATTAAATATTATCAAGAAGCTGAGCTTCTAGGGAATCAAAAAGCTGCCAAACGACTTCGTCTTTTGAGTAGTGAACAATCTTAAATTAATTTTCTCATAAACTTGTAAGATATTGAATTTTATTGAATTTTATATTGTAGGATACGTAAAGTGTACATATTTATATATATATTTGTTTATAATATAGTTGTTTATAATATAGTTGTTTATAATATATATAGTTGTTTATAATATTATAATATATATAGTTGTTTTTATCATATTATCATAAAGTATATAAATCATTTAGGTTATAAGAGTTAGTCAAATAAAAAGAAATTTGTATTATTTATTGTCTTTTACCTTAGTATTTACATAATTACACGTCGTGACTCACCATTACAGAGTGCTAAAAGTGGAAACACCTTCACCGCATATTCGAATGTATCCTCCTGAGAAAACAATTAATCTCTTTCTAGTCATTATTCGTTTAGGTTTAGGCATAAATATAACAAATGTTTGCAGTTGATGCTAAATTGCGAATATACTGTATGTGACCCATTATAAAATAGTTCAAGGCTAACCTGATAAACTTTTTTGATGCAAGAATGAAAAAAAACCAATATTTATTTATTTATTACTACAATTAAGTTTGATTAATTTCTAATTTAACACAGCAATGAATACAGAGATAAACACAGCGACGAACAAAGTTATACTACACTCTAAACATTACTATTAATTTTAATTATAAAGATCACGTATATATAATTCAAATAAAATTCTTTACGTATTGTCCAGAGTTTTCATCAAATGAAGAGTTATTTCACGTTGACCCAATGCCCACGTGTCTTTAGGATTAATTTCTAATGACCTAGTTAAATCTGCAAGTGCTTCCTCATATCTACCCAACATACGATATGTCACACCTCGATTTTTCAATGCCCACGCATCATTGGGTTTAATTTTTAATGATATTGTTAAATCTAGAAGTGACTCCCTATATCTACCTAATATACGATAAGTTTCTCCTCGATTTCTTAATGCTGATGCATCATTTGGTTTAATTTTTAAAGATCTTGTTAAATCTAATAATGATTCTTCGTATCTACCCATCATACAATAAGTTTCACCCCGATTTTTTAATGCGGATATGTCATTTGGATTAATTTCTAAAGATTTAGTTAAATCTATTAATGATTCTTCATATCTACCCATCATACAATAAGTAGCCCCACGAGTTTTTAATGCAAAAGCATCATTTGGTTCAATTTCCAAAGATTTATTTAAATCAGCAAGTGATTCTTTATCTTTACGCATTAAACGATAAGTTTCACCCCGATTTTTTAATGCAAAAGCATTATTTGGTTCAATTTCTAAAGATTTTGTTAAATCAATAAGTGATTCATTATATTTTCCTATCATACGATAAGTTTCTCCACGATCTCTTAAAGTAATTGCATCTCTTGATTTAGATTTAACTTGTAATGATTTAGCTAAATCAGCGTAAGATTCTTTATTTTTACCCATTAAATAATAAGTTTTTCCTCGACTTTTTAAAGTTGTTGAATTATTTGGATCAATTTTTAAAGATTTATTTAAATCTTCAAGTGAATCTTCATATCTATTTAACATACGATAAGTTTCTCCACGAAGTTTTAATGCTGATGAATTATTTGGATCGATTATTAATAAATTTGTTAAATCTAAAAGTGATTCTTCATATCTTCCCATCATAAGATGATTTTCTCCACTTTTTTTTAATGCTAATATTTTATTAAATTTAATTTCATTGTTGTAATTATAACTTTCTTGTGATAAAGGAGATGGATATAAAATATAATTACGAGGTGGTAAGATTGAAGTAATAGAAGTAGCCTTTTTTGGTGCCATAAATTTCAACATAATATCTGTCCATAAAGTTGATTCAAGAATTTTTTGATAAGGACGAACTTTTTCGAAAACATCTTCACCAGAAATTTGAAAATAACGAATTAGAGGAAGACAATTTTTTAAAGTATTTTTTAAAGTTAAAAAATTTAAATCTGTCCATTGATCAGGATTAGGTGATAAAGAAGGATTTTGAGCAATCCCCCATTTAATAACATAATCCCAAATATTTCCTTCATCTATTTGTAAATTATTAAGTTTTAAAATAAAAATTAATATATTTTCTGGTAAAGTAAGAAATTCTTCTGAATCAAAAATAATATCTGGATGTTTAGCAATAATATTTGCGCAAAATTGTTGTAAATCTTTAAAGCTATTATCTTTAAAGCTTGATTGGTATACACGAGAAAAATTAAGATGTAACCATGAAGTATAATTTTCAATGAAAAGTGTTTGAATATGCTTAACTAATTCTTTAAATCCAAATTCATTAGAAGCAATTAAAAGATCAAATATAATGGACGTGTCAACTTTTTCTAAAGAAATGGTACCATCATAAATGTACCTAAAATTATTATAGATTATAAAAATTTATATTAATATTTTAATTTGTTATTAATAAAAATTTGTTAATAAAATTGTTTATATTAACATTATACAGTACGTGTTATAATACATATTTCATGTTGATCATTATTGATACTTACTTAATAAGAATATTAAATACTTCAACGGAAATATCAGTTTGTTTAATCATTTTCACATTATCTTCGTTATAAGTAACTGCGCCTAATTTATCTTTAAAATACGAACATCGAGAATTTAAGATCACTGAATGTGCTTTAAACATTTGATTATTTGGCGCTTGACCAACTTCAATGATAACATTATATTCATCACTATTTTTAAGAAGGTCGTTTAAATTATTAGAAAGTTGCTTTAAAAAGCTGGTGGTCGTGGTCATTTTTTTTTTTTTTTTTTTTTCGTAAAAAAAATAGGTAAGAATGTCGATTTGTTTTATATGTATATATAATCTTACAAATCTATTAATTAATGTATTAAGCTTCTTTATTTAAACCTATGATGAGAATGATCCCATCACGATCAATGTTTCTGCAACACTCCTGCATTGATCTACATTATTAATCTAAAGGTGCAGGCTTATTAAACGTAAATGCTTAAGGCATTATATTTTTAAGTAATACCGTAATTAAAAAGTCTGCACCTCTAATTTGTATGTACATCAGTATTCCTAATTTACCTCTTAAAATTCGAGCTTAATAATATATATGGTATTTCAATATGCGTAGTTATGTGGAGAGATGTAACTTAAGGGTTCGAAAAGATGTGTTTTTTAATTTCTTTATTTATTGAATAATAACTAGGTTGCTTTGAATACACCAATCACGATTAAAATCCTGAGAACTACATTTTTTGATAATCAAAAGATATATAAATGCAATAAAGCATTTTGTAAAAAAAAAAAACAATTACTTTCCAAAAAAAAATTTTGATTATTTGATTATATACTTGTTATATCGATTATACGTATGGACAGTTCTTTATAAATGCATGCCCTATATAAATTCCCCCTAAGTGCACTGAAACTGTATAGCTTTGTTCCATAATATAAGAGTTCCGTATATATATTTTGCTCTCTTTAAATGCACATCCTATAAGTGCACCCTTGCTTTTTTTTTATGATAGTGATCTTGGATCTATGCAGAAGAATGTTGAAGTAGATGATAAATATCCTTTTTACAACGATCAAATTAATTCAAATTCGCATCAGTAAACATTTACTGTAATGTGCTGCATAAACTACCCATTATAATAGATTATCATTATTGTTATATAACACGTACATTATTGTTGGTTTTACAGTAATTAGCTTGTTTTGATATGAACTTTAGGAATATCTAACGTTAATAAAAAAAAAAAAGTTCAAAATACTGTATGTCTACTTAGAAAGGATTTGGTAAATACTTACTTAATATTTGTTTTGGTACGAATAAGAATTATAGTGTTGAGAAGTTTGTATAAAATTAAGAGAATTGTAGGATTAAATAACACAATGAATAATAATAATAATAAATATAAATAAATAAGTGTATTTGAAAATATAAAGTTGGTATTGTTAGCCGGAAAATTTAGGATTCCCGGAAATTGATGCTGCAGCTCTATTTTAGGTGGATCACTGCGTTTTTTTTTTTTGAAAATAACTAAAAAACTGGTTTGTTACAATATAGTTAAACCAAGCTGTTTATTTGCATTGTCAGTTAGATTACAATGTATACAACCCAGATTGGTTTGGTTGTATTTTAATTAAACTGATCTTTAGCGGATTTAAAACCCAAACCAGGTCCCCGTCTAATAAAATTCGATTTTTTTTATTTACATATCGGTAGAATTAAAATGAAAATATTCATTAATTGAATAGTTGCTATATTCGTTCAAAACAAATTTAATAAATGTGATCATTAATTTATGAAATTGATCACATGGATACACAACTTAGACGACCTCTTTTCTCATAACTCGAAAATCTATATAGAAAGATCATTTTAAGGAGAGCGATTGTTATTTAGTTCTGCCTTGTTTTCCAAAGTAATTTGTATCCTTTTTCCTCGTGTGTTGCTTAAAAGAAGATTCATTACGGATTTCTCAGTCTCAAGCAACTTTTTCTATATATTTGAAAGATAGATTAGATAGCTATTAGCAAATTGGCATAAATAAAAACTTTCAACTTACTTCAAGCAATTTGAGTATGCAGTACACATCTTCCAATATATTACAATACTCATCATCGACAGGTATTCTGCATCTATCTAATAACCCAAATCTATAGATGCTAGATCCTATCCAATCCATCACATAAAAGTTCAACTCCAAACCTAAAATAAAAACAGTTAATAGAGACATTATAAAATTTTATTTTTTAACATGTTAAACCTACCAAACTGAAGCCAACTGTAAACTATAACATTTGATCTTTCTTCATCGGACACATAGTCACACTCTTTTAACAGGGAGTTTAAACTATCTCGCATGATGACCATCAATTTTACTTTGTCTAAGAATCTTTTTTTATGACAAGCTGCAGCGACACCAAGTGGTCCTAATCCACCTGTGACCTCTCCAAAGAGTGCTTCAAATTTATCTGATGTTTTTAATAGAGTTCCTTTTATGTCGACTTTCCTGCCCATTCGGGCTTTTTTGTATGGGCTTGATTTTTCATTGCGGGCATTTTTATTTGAAAGAGCCTGGATTTCTCCCCTATGCATGGAAGAAAATTCACTATTGATCAAAATATTCAATGCTTTATAAAAATAAAACTTACCAAGAATGCTGTATGTGATGAGATGTAAATATCCTATTAAAAAGTGGAAAAGAAGATGTCATTTTCAACTGTTCTTCGGTCAGCATTCCTTGAAAAGAAGGCATGTTTATTTTTCTGTAGAATAATATAAAGTCCGTAAGTGCCAGATTATCAGTAATGTATTCACAGAATTGATACATACAAAAATTATATGTTTGTATCGAAATGTTTATTTTCATCAGTATTGTCAAGTTTTTCGCAATGATTGTCAAAATAATTCTGTATGTTTATTGGTGCTGGTTCACATTTCCACTCTACATGATTTGCAAAATCTTGGGACAATTGCTGTAGGTCACTTTCAGTTATTTCTCAAACTTTCTCCCGTTAAATCGATTACTCCCCAATATGCGGGACTATAAAATGATCGGATAAATGAAATGGATAACAATTAGACCTTAATAATAAAAAAATACACAAGCTTATGTGAATACTTTGTGATTTTGGGGAATTTTATTTTGGTATTGGCGGAATGCATTCAACAAGTCTGCATATATCAACTTGGATGGACCCTACCAAGATAATAATATACCTACTAAATATACTGTACACATGCAAATACCAACATTAGAACATTAGAATTTACCTTATCACGTGCTTTTGGTAATTCACTTTCTTTCTCAAGGGTGCTTTCGTCAATTTTTCCCACAATTACGTCTTTGTTTGAATCATTAAAAAGAAATACCAATCTATCATAACCTAATGTGTCTGTATTGATCAACTCTTTATCACTATCGCTATCCTGGGATACTAAAGAGTCATCATCGTCGCTCTTAGCTTTACTCTGAAAGAAATTATTAATATTAGCATTGTTCATAAAAATAAAAAATCAATAACAATTAACTTATCGAGTTTTCAACAATTAGTTCATCACTTAATTGCCCATCAAATGAGACATTATCATCTCTTTTTTGTTTTTTTACCTTATTATTTATCTTTTGTCAATATCTGAGTTTCTCCAGCTCGGATAAAATAAAAACAACATACGTTTGCATTTTTGTTTTTCTTCCACTCTTCATATCGTTTCCAGTCATTTTTATACTTTTTATTGTCTAAGCATCTCTTTAATTCTAATAGCTTCTCCGAATCAGGGTCCTCTTGCAACGCTTTTTTCAACCACAATACATAATCATTATAGGCAGTCAACTTTTTACGATAATTATACTCTTTAAAGAAGTTCAATGGACATGGGTCTGGGTTATTCTTCAAGAAGGCAACTTGTTCTCCACATACCACTTGTGTTCTTGTCATTTCTTAGCAGTAAGGGATTGAGACGCGAGACACATTCGACTATTTAGGTTGCCATTTGGCACGTGATACTCCAAATGATATGCATAGCGTACAGTATGTTAGATCCTTTTAAAATTTAAAGGGTTTTTTGAAAGTTTAAGTAAATATTTCTCAATAAATATTTAACTAACATCAGTGAACTGTTTTTATTTTATTTCTACAAACTTGTAGAATTAAAATAAAGTAAAAAACTTCATTGAGTTTGGTTATATAGTCGAGGAGAAAACTTCGTCTAAAGTTTTAAAAATCAAATTTGATTAAAATAAAAAAAAATCTTTTATCGAATTTAATTAGATAGTCACCGAGAAATATTGTCAACTAAATCAACACAGTCTTCTTCGCAATAATTACAGTTTTGGCAAGTATTGTACGAACATGTTTATCAGGTTCAGCAACTTTGTAAATTTCTTTTGATGACACGAACTTTTTTTTTTTTTTGAAATTCGTAATCAATAATATATAATTTGAACCAAATTACATCATAATGTATTAAAACATTTTTAACAGAATTAAATGATTTTTTATTTGCTATCCCTAGTCTTAGGCACCTCACTCAATGAATCGGAGACAAATTTTAATAGTCGGAAATTGAATAAATTAATTAAGTAAGCTATCATTCCGATGAGTCATAACCCATCTTTTTTCTTCAAAAATTTACTATTGATAAGGTCATTCAAGCATTACTTTTCATTTTTTACATAATAAACAATGAATCTTAACTAATTTCTAATCGATCTAAAAAAAAAAAATAGTCACTATTTTTAATGCTTGTTTTTCATTCATCTAAATTTGAGGCTTTTCAGCAAAGACAACCGAAAAATGAAGGATTTTGGGTAGATATCTTTCTATATTTAACGGATAATGAAGGTTATAGCTTTTTTCAAAAAATTTACTCCTTGTTTCCGCAATGCAATTTCGTTAACGATTTCGAAGCTGATTCTGTTGCAACAAAAATTTAATTAATTAGGAAGTTTTTTTTAGTGCAGTTCTGTACGGATCCGCCTTACTTCACCGACAACTCACTTAGCCGAGTGACAATTTACTAAAAAATATATACTTGCAACTAATAAAACACTAATCCTAACCCTATGTGACGTCGGCTAAGTGAACTTTCGGTGAAATGATTGTTGGTGAAGTGAGCAGTACCTGTTCTGTACAGATTGCAAAAAAATTAGATAATCAAATGAAAATCTGTACAAACCTTCAAGCCTAATAGCTACAAATGAAGAAATTAAATACAATTCTGCACAAAACTCCAAATTCTAAAATTTTGTATATTTACATTTATTTAACTTCCTAAATAATTAAAAGGCAAAGCCAGTGAAACTGAAGTTGAAGCTTTGGTAGCTGGTTGAATAAAAATTTTTATTGGATTTTTAGGAGGAATAGAGAAGATTTTAAAAAATAGAAAGAGTACATTCAAGCATTTAATTCTGCCATTGATTGTGATGCTTGAGCATTATCATGATCATTTTTTAATTAATTGATTAATTGAGATGTTTGAGAACACCCTAAATCGAAAATAACGATAAAATAAAATAAAAAAAATTTATTGGATTTGGATAGGTAGTCACTGAGAAATATTTATAAGAAGTTCTGAAAAAAATTTACTACAACTTTTTTTTTGTAGGCACTAAAACTTTACACAAAGTTTTCTCAACAACTATTTAACCAAATCAATGAAAATTTTTTTTTTAATTATATAAATCTATAGAATTAAAATAAAATAAAAAAAACTTCATCGAATTTGGTTAGATAATAATCGAGAAAACGTTTAGTATGATATCTACAAAAAAGAAGCTGTGGTAAATTTTTTTCAAACCTTTCTACAGTTAAGCATCCCAATATTGAAAAATTGCCGATGACTATCATTAGACTATTTTAGAAACATTAGACCATTAAATTTATCGAATATTTATTGGGAAATAACGCCAAAATTCGCAGAATTTAAAATCAGAATTTTGCTATTAGAAATAGTCAATTCAAAAAATTTTAATTGAAAACAATAACCTTACTTTATATTATTACCAAAGCTTTATATACTCGTGTAATGAAATGAATGTGTACAAATTATTCGAAAAAATATATTTAAACCTGACTTTCTTTTTACCTATAGTTATTCTTGTGAGCATTTACATATTATATATTTTCTATACTTAACACTTTACTTACTACTCATAGTGGATTTTATGTTTTATTTCACCACATTGTTTTATATCTCAATCGTGATTATTGACAACTTCGTAAAACTTGAGAAATATAATTTAATATTAGTTTAGCTATACTTCGTACTTCTATAGCATACATATATCTTATATTGATATCATATTTAACTGTTTTTTTTTTCCTTCAAGTGAGGTCTTTCCTCATATCCTTTATTAGTTTAAATATATTACTACCTATTACATGATATTATATATTTCTTATAACTAATCTATAGGTTCGGAGTTAGGGCTATAGTAAAATACTAATTTACTCTTGACCTAAACTTCAACAAAAGAAAAGTCGTAGACCTCATTTGCTTGTGTAATCTATAACATTTGGTGTTGAATTATATAAAATAAAGTTTGTTATCCATCTGGAGTAAGTGGCTTGTGTATTTTGTATTATGGTTGCTTTATCTATATGTTCAGATAATGTGGAATGTGTAATAGACATGTTGTGTTTGGTATATGTGAGTTGTTTATTTCTTGTCGACTCGGGATCCATATGTCTATGTATATTTGTTTAACTATTTGATGATGAAGTTCAGTACTGAGACTTCTCCTTTTGTATTGTGATGTAGTTGGAAATAAATTCTGATTTGTGATTATTCCTAAAGGTAGTTGAGGTTGATTGCTAAGAATTGATTTATATGAGATATGGATCTTGTGTGCTTTTGCTATTTTTTGATAACTACCATAATTGTTTGGTTGATATTTTTAGTGTATATAATCTAGTGTGTCTCATCTTTTATTGCTATTTTATATCTTGGGCATATAGAATTTGGATACTTGCTAGGGTTTCTATAGTATAGTGTGAGAAGTATAAAAAAAGTGTTAGTAATAAGTTTGACTTTAAAGGCTTTCAATTTTGATTTTTTAGTACTATGCTAGTTATAAGATTTTGTTTTATAAGTTAAATTATTAATTTGAATTTGTATAATGTATTGTGCAAGTAGGTTATTATTGTAGTTTATATATTGATAGATTACTATATATTTCCCAAAATAAGCTACTCTGAAAATAAGCTACCTTCTTTTTTCTTGGAGAAAAAACATAAGAAACTTTTTTGTTTCAAAAATATCTTTATAATTTTTTATTAGCTATAAGTAGTTGTTATATATAAAGTCAAAATTGTACTAAGTAAATATATGTTTAGTACTTAATAAAAGTTGTTAGAATGTAAAAATATACATATTTTGCAAGTTTCATACAATTTGAATAACTATTTATTAAATCATTTTTGCATTTTAAGTTTAAATTTAAAATGCAAAACCAGACTAATAAAAAGTTATCTAAATTTCAGGATATATATATTTTTATATTCTGAACAACTTTTATTAAGTGACGAACATATATATAAAACTACTTTTGCTTAATAAAAAATAACTAAAAATTTCTATACTCTAAAAATAAGCTACTTTAAAAATTTTTTTGCCCAAAAAAAGTAGTTTATTTCAAGAATACTGTATATGGTGGATTTTATTTGATGCTCTGTATTGTTATTTATTTTATTTTTATGTAGTAGAGATTCTATTATATTACTAATTTTTGTATACACTTGTCAAACATATAAAAATCAGCTTGGTTAAATGTTAATAAATATCAACCTAAAAAAAATTTCAAATTCATCTACATAAAAAAAAAATCAGCCTAATTTCAAATATATTAAAAAATTCAATTTAAAAAAAGAAAAAATTAGCTATGTAGTTAAATCTATTTACTAAAAAAAATTCAATATGAAATTAGACCTCTACCAATTCAAAAAAGAATTGACTTCTAATTTTAGATTGATTATTAAAAAAACTTTATTCTCAAGAGAATAAAATTTTGCTAAGACCTACATTAACAAGCTTGTAATTTTAAAAAATATACAACTTAGTTTTAAAATTCTTTAATTATATTCTGGACATAATTTTACTTTTGTTTAAAAATAATATGAACATTTAATTAATAGTCCATTTCTAAATGAGGCAATCATATATACCTATATATAGGGGCTGTCTAAAGTAAAGCAGAATCACGTAACACACAACCAATCAAATCATAAAATTTTGCTGATCGCTGACAAAGCAAAACAAGAAAAAAAAGCAAAAAACTTAAAAATACAAAAAATAGCAGTCTAAATCTACCTTGGGTAAGTTAAGTAAAAATATCAGGAAAGCAATTTTGCTTATATATAATTGCTAAAAACCTGCTTTAATCTTAATCCAAAATAATATAATCTTAAAGTTAATTCAATAAAATATATATTATAAGAATCTACTTCGCTTTAGACATCCCCATATATAGTAAATTGTGACGCAATTTACTATAAGTTTTATATAGCCAAAAATGCCATTTCACTTAAACAATAGTCTGTTTACATTAGTCAGCAAATCGTTTTCTTGCAATATCTTGGCATCTAATAATCAGATTTTAATGATCTTACTATTATTAGAATTAGAAAATGATACTTTACAAGTTTACTTAAAAATTGAAAATATATTTACTTAGTAGAAAAATGACTTTACTTTGTCGTGAAGTGGCATTTGTGGCTTAGCAATTTTATATAGTAAATTATATAGATCTGTGCATCACAATTTACTATGTGTAGTTGTTTTATTCAGAAATAGATTATTAATTAAAATATTTTAAAATTATTTTTATTGATACTGTTACAATACTGCAAATAAATAGAATACTACTGCAAATTGCTAACTAATAGTTTTTTTTTTAATATGAATACAATAATGTATTCAGATTTCAAAAGCCATTTTCTGAAAGAAAAAAATAATTGTTCTTTGCTTTTAGAAATCATATAGTAACTCTGACACAATATTTTAATAGGTGCTAAACAACGAAAATAATTATTCACAGCTGTTTTTATTATACCAGGACATCTATAAAATTAGTTAAATGATTTTTTAGCAGATCCGGTTAAGTTTTTTTTTGGCATAATTGGTATATAACTGATAAAAAATATATTTTTTGAATTTGTCCAATATTTACATTAGGGGATGGACAGAAATCAGGTGATTTCGATTTACTATATGGACCTCCTCTCACCTCTCATCTGATTGACCAATATAATTATTACATATTTGCTAATCGCATGATCTAATAAAAAAGATATAATTTATACTTTTATATTTCAAGTTCAAAAACTCTTTTCTCTTGATAAAATTTACATAACTATTTTTGATAACTATTATATTCTATTTTTAATCGTAATTCTCAATACATACTATAAATATGACTTTGAATATAATTGTCAATCTAATTCAGAACTACTAACCAAAATAAGAAAGTAATTAACTTTATAGTTAAGCATAAAATAAAGAACCTGAGAAAATAATAAGTTTGTCACCAATAAATCAGTTGTAGCATTTATGAATATTGTCATAATGACATTATGTATTATATTAAATATAGTTTGTGAGAAAATTGTTTGTCTTAAATGAATTCCTTAAAAAGGAAACAAATAATTGTTTTTGACGAAGCATTTTAATAAATAGCTTTGGCTTAATTAGCTTGATCATTTCGAACTAGAATTAAAAGTTAAGTGTATAATAGCCTATATATATTTTTATTATCATAGAATTAAAGTTTATAATCAAGCAATAATAATAATTTCAAAATAAGAAATAGGTTTAATTTATGTGTGTAAAAAGTCAAATTCGAATATAGAAGATACTTCTAATTTACAAGAAAGCTATAAGGTGATAATTAATAATCAAGTGCAGTGAGAATAAAATAAAATTGAATGAAATACTTCTTGTTGCCAAGGCAAAAGCATCTTATTAATATGAATTTTCATAGTTCAATATGTAAATTTAAATATTTAAAATAGCTATGATAGAAAGTAATGATAGATTCGTAAAATTATAAAAAAAAAAAAAAATTAATAAAACATTTCAAAAAAATTAATTATCAATAATTCAATACAAATTTTTTTTACTATAAAATCTTAATTAAATTCATCAAACATATACTTAATTAGAGTCTTTTTCTTTTGTTTTTAGATTAAACAAAGTTCTTTTTGTTTTGCAATAATTATCAATACAGACTTTCTTAGACATTCCAAAGTTTAATAAAAAACTATTTTATTTGAATCCTAATATCCAGTATAAACATTTTATAAATGCTTTTGCATACTACAGGATGGTTTCTGATATAAATCCATTACTATTAAAATCAAGATTATTAGAAGAGAGAAATGAAAGATGGTATAAAATTAAAAAAAATAAATATGATAGTATTCAAGAGGAAATTCAAACTCTTCTATTAACTCCAATTCCATTGCAAGCATTATTTGGTTTTCAAAAAAAACCAAGCAAACTTTCAACCACATCAGATAAATCAGTATCTATCTCTCATCTTTCTACTTTTTTTACATTTTATAAATATGAAATACCTTCTAATACTGCAGCCCAAAAAGTAGCGAATAACAAAATTAAAAATTCAAAGGCAAAGATTATTGAATTTGAATCTTTATTTAATCTAGCTACAGATATAAGTATTTAGAATGATCTTTCTATTCGGATACAAGAATATAAAGAAATTATTAATAAATATTCAAAGAAAATTGATACTCTCAAATGACGTGCAAATAATCAAGCCCAAATGGTGACAAAAAAAAAAAAAACAACTTCAAGAAGAAAGTATTGTTGAGCAATAGGATGGCTCTGGAAGATCATCAATACTTGCACAAAATCTGGACTTTTTTGAAAATATTCATAACTGTTGAATTTAGTGAAGCTGATCACAAGCATAGAAAATCTGTAATTAAAGTTAAAACTATTACTCATTTAAAAAAGGAACTAGAAGAAAAATATGAACTTTATATATGCAGACAAACTTTATCTACTTATCTTTGGCCAAAACATCCTAATACTTTTTCAGCAAAGTGACATCACCACCTTGCAATAGTTCAAATTTGGCTAGTATCAAGAAGTGAAAAATCAAACTATCCTAATAGCCACTATTGCTTTGCTTCAGTAAAAGGTGCTTGAACTTTTGCTTCATCATTTTCTAATTATTCTATAATAATCTCTCAAGATGACAAAGCAAAAATTCCTTTGGGAATTCCTGCAGTTGGTCAAACTTTTAAATCAATTGAAACAATCAATAAGCCCGTTTCTCTACCTGATCATAATTTTCCTTTAGGAAATAAAATGAAATTGATCTCATCCATGTATCTTTTAATAAACCCAAAAGATACAAATAATAATTTTCATTCAGGATATCTTTCAATTTATATTTGGCCTGAATTTTTTGTAGGAACAACTACAGCAACTCATATGAGTAATTTGATCTCAATTGTGAATTCTAGAGAGTATGATGAATTCATAATATAGAAGGAAAAGTTAAACTATTATGGATTTTGATAGTAGATGCTGAACCAGACAAAAATCCCAAATTTTTAAAAAATATTATAGAATATTGTAAGTTTTTTTGTTTCTTGGATCTTGATTACCTTTCAATTCATACCCATGCACCAGGGCAATCTTCTTTCAACCCTGTTGAAAAAAGTATGGCTTCTCTTTCATCTAAGTTGGCTGGTATTGTGTTATCTATAGACTATTTTGGTACTCACCTCAACTCCTAAAGAAAAGTAATTAATAAAGAACTAGCAATGAAAAACTTTCGATTTTCAGAAGAAAAACTTGGTGATATTTGGCGGTGGAACAAAATTTATGAAAAACCTGTTAGAGTTGAATATTTAGATACATATATTGATATATTTGCAGATTTGGATATTTCATGGCAATGGATTGAAGAACATTGCCAAATTTGTCGCTATTCACTTGATATCTGAAAATGTTATAATCCAAATTGCTACAAGCCTTTCAGAGCACCAGAGACAACTATTTTGTTACAAGAATATAATAGTTTTTTACCACCCATTATTTAAGGACATGACTGATATTTTTTAAACCCTATTCATATTCTTGAGTACTTTAACAAACTTAAAATTCCTCCTTATGACAAGCACTGTCCATCAATATTAACTAAAATACATCAGCATTTATATTGCTCAGAATGTGGAAAGTACTTTTCAACTTTAAATTTTATTCAAAAGTATAAACTTCAACATTCAAATAATCGTAAATATCAAGATTCTAATCTCAACCTTTCACTTTCTAATTCTGCAATGTATGAAAATTTTGTTTACTCACAAGAATTGTGTAAAGAAATTGAGTTTAAACGAAGTTTTTCTGATAGTGAGATCCTTAAATAATAAAGTATAATCTTTTATATCATACAAATGAATTTTTTTTCTAAAAGAATAAAAAATAAATATTAAATGTAGTTTTATAAAATATATAGTTATCCTGAAAATTTTATTATTATATAATTGAGAGGTGTGGCGACTTAGTGAAGTGGTCTAGTTGTCACCCTCACCAAACGTTATGGGAAGATCCCATGTTCAAAT